GACTGTAGGCAAATAAGAAAAAGGTAACGGTTCGCTATCAGAGAAATGGCGCCGGTGAGACGCAAGTCGAGGAAGAACGGAAAAAGGTAGAAACAATTTTTTTTTATCCTGATGAAAGAAGAGAGTCTACTCTTTCTTTTGGTGTGTTCAGTGTTTACATAGTCATAGCACAAACTATTCTGTGGCTCTTGAAAAATCATTCAAAATGCTCAAAAAACTCTGGCAGTATGGGACTCTCTGTTCTGAAAATGTCTGGCAGTCAATGAGTTAAGGAGGCTGGGAAATAAACAGAAAATAAACAGAAAACGAGTCGATCGGTGAGTTAGAGAGCCGGTTTTAAAGTGGGGAAATGATCAGAAATCTTCCCGTCTGAGTAAACAAATCTGTCTTTGCTTTAGCTAAACCGAACGGGGCAGATGTGAGCGGCTCGACGGGGAACTGAAAGGTTCCCACCATTTTACGGCTGAAGAGCAGACGCTGATCTGTGAAAGCCCACGGCCGCCCGGGGCTGTTTCTGAGTGGTTTCTGAAGCAAACCTGGTCTGACAGACGGATGCATAACTTTGATAAAGAGGCACTGATAACCAGTGAGTTGTTTAAAAGGATTCCCATCCTTCCTTTTTGTATTTAGACTTTAAAACTGCTCTCAGGATTTGGTGAATGAAGCCTTTAGGAACCTTTTAGATGCTCAGCTACACTCATGGGCAAATATTAGTTTGCTTTCTTTTCTTCTGCTGTTACATAAAAGTGTAACGAATGATCTGACTTCAACTCTAAAATCAAAATAGAACATTTAAATCCATCCTGTGTCTATGGGCTCTGTGGGTAAAGTCAGAGGCTCCACGCATGTAATCAAGTAAATGTAAACCTTTCCGCATATTTCTGAAGAAAAATAATGAAGCGTGAGTCAACAATAATCTGACAAAAACATTGGAAATCTACTTTAATTCACTTAGTTTAGGATTTCTTTTGTTGGACGAAAGAAGACGTCATAAAATGTGACCCAACATGAGTTGATGGTGACTTAGAATATGTCCAGATGGTCGCTCTGCTCTAATAAAATCTATTTAAATCTATAATTATTGACCTAAACTGGAGTAAATCAGCTTTCACGTTATCATGAAAACATTTGCACATCATCAGAGAGAGTTGGAAGATGTCTTGAAAGTGTTTTTTTCCACATATGGTCGATAAAATTGGCAGCATTGAATACTCTCAGATCATGTGATTGAAAACTGTAACAAAGATGGGGAGGCCCAGCTGAATAGATCTGAATGATCTTGGACCAGGAATGGTCTGGATTTAAGGTTGTTTTGTAACACATCACTCATCCAGCCTTTTAAAAACATCTGTTTGAAAACTCCAGAGTGGCAGCCACCTCCACAGCTGGACGGGCCAGCTGACCTCTGACCTCTGCTGCTATTGTGAACAGACCCGAGCAGCTGGCCCCGTCAATACAAACAGGAAGTGAGCATTCAATGGCCGCTGGGTGGAACGGCTCCTTTTGTTGCAGTCCAGTCGCCGCCCAACATGTCGCCTCTCCTCCTCTTCCTCCGTCTCCGGCCCCAGACCCCTGAACACTTTTCATCTGGTCACTGAAGTAAACCCCCACTGACACCACGTTGTCCTGCACAGTGACTCACAAAGGGGGCTTAAAGCCATAAGAAAATCCACCCAGGTCATTTTTTCTGACTCTTAATATTTCAAGCGGAACTATTTAAGTGGTTTTTAAACAGAAATCTCCCTGAAGGTCCTGTTGTTTATGTTCCCGTGAGCCTGTTTTCTCCCCCCGGACACTTTAAACGACAACTATGGCTGCTAGCTGCGCAGGTTTCCAGATAACCGAGTTCACGATCCCAAAACCCCGAGCCAACACAAACAGTTTAAACATTCGTACGCGGCTGGGAAGCGCCTCCCACTTTTCTCTGGCCTCTCGGAGCAAAGCAGGTTCAGATCCGATGCTCCCTTAAGGGAATTTGATTTGGTAAAAAACTGGTGGCTGAATGAGTCCAGAAGGACAGGGGAACATTTTTAGATGGCTCCTGCTCTCTGGCTCTGCCTTTTTTTTGGCTCCGTTGTCTGTATTTTTCCCAAATTCGAGAATCTACTTAGGTTGCAAACTCAAAAAATCAGCCCTTGTAGCAAGTTTAGCTCCCCTTAAGCAGTTTTAGGCCTTTTATTGCTGTGTCTGATTGAATATTTACCCTATTTGTGCCTTTTTAGAATCATTTTGTCACCTGATTTCTTCTTCATAACCCTCTCAAATCCTACTTTTACAATCCAGCTCTTATCAGCTAGCCTCGTCCCCACCTGCCCCCCCCCCCACTCCACTTTTCCAGCTGCAGATCGCATACCAACGTGGCTCGTTACA